TGGCCTCCTGCCTCTGGGGCTTTTCCTGCAGGTTGTTTGCCTCTGCCTGGCTCAAGTAAGTTTATTCTGACTTTGAATCTGTTTTCTCCCTCGCAGATAAGCCAGACGGTAATTGAGGTAAGTGTGAGGGAAGGGACAGTGCTCCGTGCTTAGGGAAAGGGTGTGGGTGAAGAGAGACTTGAAGGCCACTCTCTGTCATGCCCTGGCGCTGAGCCGCTGGAGGGTTTTCGACCCTTTTCTTCCCCACAGTAGCTGTAGCTGACCCTGACGTGGTGCTGGCAAAGGCGAGTTGACCGCAGGGCAGCGGGTGCCGTGTGTGTGTGCCTACATGGTGCTACCTTGTGGGCATCGGGCAGGCGCCCGGTGACATGGCGGGGCTTGAGCTCCGTCTACAACTACCTCTGGATGGATTATTACTGGGAAGACTGGTGTGCGGAGGAAAGGTGCTCAGAGCAGCAGTGCTGTGGGGAGCAGGGGGCCAGGCTCAGGGCCCCTGCAGGGCTGATCACAGAGCACCGTTGTGGGGCCGCAGCTGGAGCTCGCTCCGTGGAGAACAGAGCCCCCCATTATGGGTACGGAGACCTGTAAGAGCCTTTCTCTAGGTTTCCACAGGCTGGTGGGGCCTCCCGCCTCCCCCTCGGGAGCCTGGTGCTTTGAGAAAGCGCCTCTGTAGATGCTAATGTAATCCTGAGGAACCAGGGGAAACCGCTGAGCCCGGCAGTGAAGTGGGGAAAGGGTTGTTCTAAATTTTCTTCGCTAGCACAAACTCTCAGGAAGACTGTCTCCTTTGTGTTGGCTGAATGAGTAATTAGAGTAGTTCAGTGAATTTCAGTGTTTGATTCGCAAAGATCACTCTTTTTATTTCTGCCACCCTGTCATTGCCATACGGCATTCAGATCCTGCTGGGTTGGGGAGTTGAGCCCCCTCCACCTTGCCCTGGCCATGCCAGCATTGTGGGGCACAGGAGGGCAGCTGGGCCCGGGGAGCAGGGTTTAAAACCTCATCCCTGTTCTTCCCACGAGGGGAGCGTTGCTGGTCATCGCAGCAACAGCTAAGATGGGATATAGGGCCTGTGGGTCCTGACATGCATGGAGTGAGAACACGGCTCCTCATCACAGCTGTGACCCCCTGACTAACCCACAGAAGCTGCCTCTCATTGTGCCGGTCCCCCCAGACTGGCTCTCGCAGGTTTGCCAGGATCTAATTGTTCCTTTTTTTTATGTTACTCCTTGTCAGAGAGGTCTCCCTGGTCCACCAGGCCCCCCGGGTCCGCCAGGGCCACCAGGAGTTCCCGGCATCGATGGCATCGATGTAAGTGTTTCCCATGCCCTGCCTAGGAGATAAGAAATGCCTCAAGCTGTACCTGTATTGTCCTCACTGTCAGCATTTGACCCTGAGGAGTTTGAATTTGTCTGGAGATCCACATAAGAATTGATGGGTCTCATACTCTGTAGCGGGCCGGGGTGAGGGGAGAAGGAGGCCTTTCAGATTATCTCTGATATGGAAAATACAGGATTATTTATTTTATGTAATCGGTATCATATGCTATGATTATTTGCCTTAAATGGGGTGTAGGGGTTTTATAATTCTAATCTCAAAAGGGATTACGTAGCATCACTCATACTAAAGCATGATAAGGATTTGTGGCGTTATTCCTGAGAGGAGCTACTATGTATTTTCCCCCAATTCCTGTCAGAAGTTTCTGTGATTATTTCTGTTAGTCTATAATAGAGATTATGTGGGTTTAATATTAATATCCTACAATAAGAATCAGTTTGGGATTATTCCTGATAATCTGTAAATCAGTTTTTTTATCATGAGGGACCATAAAAGGTTGCTGTAGCTCTGACTAATACCTTTCTTTTCATATCTTGTTAGGGGGAGAGAGGTCTGAACGGCCCCCCCGGTCCACCGGTAAGTGATTTCAGCTACTCTGCATTTGCTCCTGCAAGAGAAAAGGGTTTGAGTTTTGTTTCTGCTTCCCTCTCTGAAACATGCTTAACTGTCCATTTAAATCCTGAAGGGTCCAGATGGGGATGCAGGCAAACCAGGATCCCCTGGCCTGCCTGGAGAGCCGGGAGCTGATGTGAGTACACTTTTCTGGAATTTCCTCTTTTTTTTTTTTTTTTTTTTTTTTTAAGAAAAATACTTGGTTTTAGTCTATTTCTGTAGAAGCATGACCTCCTTTTGAGGTCTCTGGCTTCCTCACAGCTGCCAGTGAGTGCCAGCGGTGTGCACGTGGGAGAGGCTCTTTTCTCCAAGCTGAAGGATGCTCTCTTGGAGGAGCACAGCCGGGCTGAAGGGTGGCCGGGGCAGCAGCTGAGGAACAGCGCAAGGGCTGTTGGGTGCTGCCACCCTGCTCTGGAGAGGGCGCTGGGCGGCAGTGCCGCGGGGAGGAGGCCATGCTGCGGCCTCTGGAAGCAGCCTCACGTCAGCGCCCCGCTCCCTGCGGGGCGAAGGGCAGGGCAGCCAAGGG